CTTGCGTGTATCGTATCAGAGCTAGTTCCAACAAACTGATGTGTCTCAGGTGTGTTCGCGATATCACGGGCATGATGTTCACCGTGAGGACAACGCCTTGACAATAAGAAAAGCCTACAACAACACCAGCGCACCGTACACATTACAATAGGTCATGCTGTACTCCTTCCCACGTTTCGGTGGTAGAGGGAAATTCAAAAATGTGTACAGTATTGGAGTACAGCAGCAGTAGTGTTGCGGCCTTCAATTGACGTGTTGTCGCAGTTTTTAAGCAGCACAATTTCGTGGTCGCATTCCTGCTTCAAATGCGCGTATTTTGACACATGTTACACCTCCATTGACCCCGGGGACGGTGAGTTAGTGGCCCCGGAATCCTAAATACACTTCCCCGCGTTAAAGACACTCCAAAAAAAACAAACGCGGTGTGTCTTTAAAGCGGGGTCGACTGTACCTCAAACGGACAGCCAGTCCTCGCGCTTCCCTTCACGTTCCGCCGTTGTACCCCAGGTGCTGCAACACGCAACAACATGGGAGACGGAGTATAGGCGGTGTGTCATCGGCGGTGCGTCATGCATACACCTACACCGAAGCATGCATGCTAACAACAGGCTTGCGCGCGAATCGCCCCGTATTCGTCGCCTCAACCATTCTCCTAGTATGCCCAAGTGCCACGAGGTACAGCACAGCGGGGACAATCCATTGGCGTGCTACACCCACGGAACAAACATTGCCGGTGTCACGCCGAACCGCACTTGTCAAACATCAACCCGTTTCGCCTGCGTTTCCGGCGGAGGGCTGGTGGTCAACATCTGCTGCTGCTGTTGCTGTACGGGGTGGGCTTGTGCAGGGTAGCCCGCAAAAGCTCCCGCAGCGCCAGCATCACGAGCACCGTAAGAGGCCGGCAGAGCAGCACTGGATGGAAGCATTCCTAGCAATGACACCACCGCACGGCAGGCCACGGGTCCCACGACGCGAGCATGGAGGGTAGACACATGAAGTTAAGGGGTTGGGCAAGTGCGTGCACATGCCAGCACCTGTACCAGCCCAGTATTGTAGCACCACCATACAGCCGAGCAGCCAGAAGTAAAGACTCCGGATTACACGGCAAGGACAACAGGCCTGGCCTGACCACACCAGTGCAGGCACATGATCACCAACGTACGTACGACGGCGACAACAGGTACAGAGCAGCATCGACAGCGTGGTACAGCATGAGGGAGGCTGCAACACAACGAGAAAGACTAACACACACAAAGGCGCTGGCGCGGGCGCGGGCGCGGCCGTTCCTATTTTATTTCTGGAGAAAACATCACAAGAGAGGGTGAGGGTGAGGCACAGACACAGAGGATGCACGGACGGCTGTCGGGACGGGATCTCACCAGTTATCGTTGTGTGCCGTCTCCTCGTCTTCCCCCGGCGTGCGGGTGCGTGGCGCCGCCTTCAGACGGCTCTCCGCCGCCGTGATCATGTGATTGTAGCTGCTTTATGGGCCTGCTTTAATACAAGAGGGAGGAGAACCTCTTCGGGGACGCCCTGGGCGGTTTCCCGGGGTTTCGACCCATCTGGATGTTTGGACTGTGGTTCTCTTTTATAATCCATGGATTGCAAATAGTCGCGCCCTATTTTATGAACCACATTTTCAATCACAACAGCAGCGAAGGGCGCAGACACACAACCCGGACCACCGCCCCATGCGCCGTATCACAGAGCACACAGCAAACCAAACAGCAGACATCCTCCTCGTAGATCTTCCCGAGAGTAGTGGTAGTGACGACAGCAGTGCAGAGAGCGGCCGTATAACGGTGTCCGCTGATGGACTAGAGTCTTCTCTAGACTATATGTGGGAGTAATTTACTTCGTGTACATATCTGTATCTTGATCTTGAATCTGCCGCACTGCTGTGATATCTGCGGGCATGTGGCGGGCGGGTGGAAGATTGCCGTATTTGAGTGGAATGAATGTTATTGAAACCTGATTACCTGCGTTGTGGTCCGTTGAGGATTAAACTGATGGGTGTAAGCTACATAGAGCATACGGGAGGTTGAAGGGAGCGCTCACATGTTGCATGGTTGGAGGTTGTGGCCACTTGATAGAAGAAAGGCAATTGGTGGACGTACATGTTTCCGTTTAGTTCGACGAGATGACTTCCGCTGTGCTTCGGGCTTCGCACAGTGGTCCTCTCCATGTTCGCTCGGGGTGTGCGATCAACGTGAGCTGCCACAAATGTTGTTGCTTCATGACACCGTACTCCGTGAAGAAACAACACCGCAACACCGCCGATCAGCCACCACTACCAACCTGCAGAAAGAATGGACAACCCCAAAAATTCTTTGAGCCAACCATCACATTGGGGTTACAGCGGGGGATCACAAACCACAAAGTTTCCCCACCTTCAACTCCATTAAATTCCGCTCGTTGCCCTCCACGACCACGCCTGAACACGACCATGGTACGCTCACCAAGTCTCAAGCAAGTGCGGTTTGCGTGCGCGCGACTTCTACGCCTTGCCCCGCCATATCCACGCTAGCTCTCTCTCTAGATCCTTGACTTCTAAACAGCTGGTTGGCGCACACGTTGTGGGTTGGCAAGAAAAGCCCCCCCGCCCCGAGAAATCATAGCCGTGGACCCCAAGCAAGTCAAAAATACCGAACGAAAACACTTCCGGGACATGCATCATCCTTTCCTACGCCATGACAAAAAGAACATTCAACGCAGGCGAAAAGACAAAAGCCGACGCTATTCCTAAATCCCCCAAGCCGCTTTGGCACCACCCTGAATGACATGCTGTCCTCCACCACGGTTATTTCTCTGGGCCGACGACTTGCGCCTTTTTGTCGGTCCTGTTTGCTCCCGTTTCGGGGGAGAGCGCACCTCGTCCAAGAAAGCAACATTTTGGGGCGTCGAAGGCAGAGGCTGCCCGTGGTTGTCGTGGGCGCGAAGTCTTTCTCAGTTTAGTCTTGATTGCTGGAAACCNACCACCCTGAATGACATGCTGTCCTCCACCACGGTTATTTCTCTGGGCCGACGACTTGCGCCTTTTTGTCGGTCCTGTTTGCTTCCTTTTCGGGGGAGAGCGCACCTCGTCCAAGAAAGCAACATTGTGGGGCGTCGAAGGCAGAGGCTGCCCGTGGTTTTCGTGGGCACGAAGTCTTTCTCCGTTTAGTCTTGATTGCTGGAAACTCTCCGGCGCGCAGGAGTTTGTCGCGTCGAAAGCCAACGACGCCGAGGACGTGACACCGGGCGAAGTCTGCCCCACCCCGTCATGAGGAGAGTTGCTCAAGGACCGAAGCGGTGCGCCCGAGCCCCCGACCGGGCGTGTCGCGTTCGTGGGTGTCGGGAAAGAATGCATAGCGGCGCCGGCGACACCAGCCCTGTGAGACGGAAAATTCTCGGCAAGGCTCGTCGTGCCGGCCGCGGAAACACCAAGACCCGACCCTCCCCCCTCCCCGCCCCCGCCCGTGCTGCCGGGGCCGTCCGCCTGTGGCAACGCCGGGCCACCCACGGCAAGGCTCGGCGTGCTCGCCGCGGAAACACCAAGACCCTCCCCTCCCCTTCCACGTCTTGCTCTTGACCCTCTCCCGCCACCTTCGCCTGCCCCACCCCGGCCTCGCCCTCGCCCGTTCCCTCGTCCGCGGCCTCCTCCCGGCCCGGCCCCCACCGGCCCTCCCTCTGGCGGGTCGGTAGCGGTCACAGGCCGGGCCACGACTCCCGTGAAAATCCGGTTCGTGGTGGCCTCATGCTGCGACGTCGCCTCCACCTCGATGAGCTGCTTGGCGTAGTTGGTGAGGTTGTTGAGGACGCGTTGGCAGGGGGCGATGGCGTCCACGTCTGTCATGAGAGATGCGAGCTCCTTCCCGAAGGCGACGCAGCTGGCCCAATTGCTTGCTCTCGCCGTGGGCTTCGAGTGGGAGAAAACGCCGGGATCCATGAGCGGGCGGCATATCTCCGGGAACGCCCGCAGCTGTATTTGCTGGTGCCGCACGTTTTTTGCAATAGTAAGGTATGACAGGGTCGGACGGGTGGGCGGGGAAGGAGGGACTAAGGGTGCAAGGGGGGAAAGGGACAATATTCCAAAAGTTCTGCACCCAGTAGACGTACGACTGCAAAAACTGGCCTTCATAGCGTAGGCGCTGCATTCCACGTGGCGCATAGCCCGCCGGACGTAGTCGAAACCTTCAAGCCAGCTGTTCGTCACTCTCTCCAAGGGTGAGGCTGTCGGTGGACGCACGCGTTGGACCACCCCCCCAGTGTTTGCCTTCAAAGCGCACCGACCAGCAGCAAGAGGGTGAATACAAGATGGAATGAGTTGATGATGGGAAAGCAAAACACACTTTGCAGAGGCAAAACAATGAAGCAGCGGATATGCAGATTTGACTCGACGCCGTGATTTCACCTGCCAGTCGAAGGAGTAAATATGACTTGGGCTTCCCGTGGTTGTCGAGGTATGTTTAGTCGTTCTCGACAGACGGTGGTGGAAACGCACGTTGGTTGTCAGCTGGTGAAAAAAACATTATATGGCCAGGCAGCCCACAACCTTTCCACTTGTGCGCAGTTGGCCACGACATTTCACAAAGCACACAAGATGTTGCCTTAACAACAACCGACGATTCCAACATAATGCCCACCCTTTGCTTTTGTTGGCGTCATCCTGAACCTTGCCGACGATGGTGTCATGCACGTCAACCATACTCCCCGATCTGTGCATCGTCGTCTTCAAGGCACCGTTGGTCGATTGCACTCGCTGCGTGGAGGTAATGTTGAGCGTGTGGAGTCCAGGGTGCACAAACGAAGCCCACCGCTGTACCCGCCTGTTGCGTGCGGCAGGCCGGAAGCCACGGTGTCAAGAGTGAAGGAGAGCAACTGGTGCAACGTTGAACGACAAAAAAAATCAACGAAGACATTGACAATCCAAACGACCACAGAATAACGGGGCACGTAGATTCCCCGGTGGCGCGAGGGGTGGAGGAGGTAAAAAACACAAAAGCTGGGCGAAAAAAAAATGCGACAAGGAAGGCACCCACGGGGGGGGCGAGGCAACCGCAACCGACCAAGCTTTCCCCGGTCGAGGTACCTTGGGCATCACTGTCTGGAGTGCTGCTGTGCCAGACACTGCTTACCTTGGTTCGAAAACGAAGTCAGCCATGTACTTGTACATGTGACTGTCCGGTTTAAGCTGCTTCAATAGATTCGCTTTGGCTTCAGGAACATCTGCCAAGCCGAGAAAGGAGAGGAGCAGGCGAGGCCGAGGGGGGAAATGAGGGGACGGTGGAGGGGATTGCAGGTTCAAGTTTTGATCAGCTGCGAGGAAAGAAAGATCGTACCAGTTTCAACCATGCACCGTCTGCACGCACCATCCGTACACGCCGCGCGGATATTGCAGCCTTTGCCCCGAACTCTGTCTAAGAGGCGCTTGATCCACACCACAATTTCATGAACCAGAACTTTAACTCCCCAAGACGACTACCCACCTACTCCGTTTGAGCGTACGCTGCTGCGTGGAAAATCCCCTTCACCCCCGCCAGGACGCCCTGCTCAAGGCCTTTGCCGTGCTTCGTGAGGTTCTCATCCATGTGGAACAGGCACAGCTTCTGGTGCGATGCCGGGCACTCTTCATCGATTGCCNATCCCCTTCACCCCCGCCAGGACGCCCTGCTCAAGGCCTTCGCCGTGCTTCATGAGGTTCTCATCCATGTGGAACAGGCACAGCTTCTGGTGCGATGCCGGGCACTCTTCATCGATTGCCGTCATTGCTGCCTGGTCAGCGTCAGTGAACATCACCTACTTCGCACAGAGTGGCCGACGCGCGTCGAGGGAAAGGACAAGGACGTCAGGAAGATGCACTCAGCGAAATTCATCGTACACCATCTTCACGAACGAAATACCCTTTGGGGCAAAAGAGTTTCAAAGGGTAAATAGCCGACGTGTCCCAACACAACGCTCTACGGGAACTCTTGTACGCTGCAAATGGGAGGCGGGCTTACCTCTGGCTGCATCCCCTGGCATAGTTCCCTGAAAACCCGGAAGAGAAACTTGTAGTCCTCAGTCCGCTCGTTCGCAAGTAGGGCCTGCATCGCGATCTGGGTGTAGTTCTCTTTGTCGACGACGACGATTAGTGCCAAGTGGTACTTGTATCTGGTAGGGGTGCGACCAAAACACTGAGCACAAATCGAACATGGAGTCAGCAGGTTGTTCGCAACAGGCGAGCGAGCCGTACGTTTCGACCAGGAAACCGAAAGAACAGCAGAAAACGCTGCGATCTCCACAGCAGAACAGGCAAAAGAAAAAAAAAAAACACTCGCTCGTTCGTGTTGAAGGTGTTGTCCTGGATGATGATGCGGGAGTACCGCAGCGCGTTGCGCTTTTGCTCGTCGAGCGCCCAAGCAATGTGCGTCACGCGCCTGTCCTCGTCCAGTTGGAATCTCACCCACAAATCCTCCTTCTGGAGCTTGCCCAAGAACTGCCGTGCGTCTTCGACATCTGCGGCGCTTTCCCGCTCAGCGCGACTGATGATGGTTCTCACCTACGGCAAAAATGTACAGCGCGGGCCGAGGGAACACGAACCAAGTTTCAGAGAACTGAAGACGCCACCAGAGCTGAAAACGTACTGATGCAACACCACCAGTTCGAGGGTGAACACACGACCAACCAAGCGAGGATGCCTCCGAGGGCATCCAACATGAAAGCCGAGTTCTCTATCCTTCTTCCCTGTCATGGAACCCACGAGTGCAACGTGCTAGGTCTTCGCCTTACCCTACTCACTCACCATCTCCTTCCCTTTCGCTCCCAGCCTCTTCGTGGGGGTCTGAAGCGCCTTGAAGATTTGCGGCTTGTCCACTTTGAAGCATTGGGGAGGAGAGCAGAGCTCTGCAACGTGTCAGCATGTGCTGCCACCATGCTACGGTTGGCGGTTCACACCAACTCTGTGACCCGGTGGGGGTACTAGCTTCGGGTCTGGCGCGTGCTGTGTGGCCTGGTGCGGTGGTCCGGCTTGTGTGTCGGGGCTCTGCGCTGCTGTTGTGATTTTTGAAAATATGGTTTTATAAGGGCTGGTTCGGGAGCCGTTAGTGAGGGCAGATGACTTCTCATCTACCCTCGAGGGCAGATTCCCGGGCGCCCGGATAATTTTGTGTCACGCAGACTGGTACGATAACCGTTTGATAGGGGGCACCGCGATGATTCACGGGGCCCCTCCTTGCTGTGGGAGCCGCTCTTTGAGCACTCCCTCTTTCGTCCGTGTGAAGGACGGTCGTCTACCTCCCGTGAAGGTAATATATCACCAAAACAGTCTCACCCGATAAGTAAGTGGCGTAGGCCGCAAACACTCTAGAGTTTTGCCCCTCGAGGGAAGCCACATCGGGATGAGCTCTGCTGGAGACGAAGAGCGCGCTGCTGCGAGCGGAGAACAGATCCGCCCGCCAGTGCAGGAGGGCCGCGACGCGGAGCTTGCAAGTTTGCAACGGCAGATTTCGCAATTGGCGGCCCTGGTGGAGGAGTCGGTGAAGAAGAAGGAGCCTGGTAGCGTCGTGGCGGATGCAGCCAGTAGGGGTGGCTGGGTTGCTGCCCCCAGAGGCCAACGAGAAGAGCCCACGCTGCCGCTCGGCGGTGGCGGGGGATTTCTCCAGCAGCAAACGAGAGATAGTGGGCAAGGACCACGGTCGCTGCTGGAAGGCGGCTGGGCCAGCAGATCGGGAGCGAACCCTGTTGGACCAGCCGGAGTGGGCCCGGGCATAGGACCGGACTACGGGGAAGCGAGGGGGTTAAACCCCCCAGGTGAGATACCCGTGATTCGAGGGAATGGAGAATACCTCGACGGCTACAGCAGTAGCCACATGAAGAGGGTAACGGTCAATGCTCCGCTCCTAGACGAAAAAAGCCGTAGCCACGGATTTGACTCGTGGCGAAAATCATTCATCCAAGCTGCGAAGACCATCGACTTGGACGGGCTGTTTATAGGAGATGCAGAGAGCAGTATCCCCGTGGGCGACCCAAACTTGCCCACTTCCGAACTGCTCCGTAGGGGGTACACGAGAGCAGAAGTCCAACGGGGGCTTCAGGCGTTCCACTTTATCACTACTGCTGTGGTAAAAGAAGCTGACAAAGCAATTATCAGCAACTGTACGTCAGCGAAAGAGGTCCTTGCGGAATTGGAAAAGGTCTACGATCCGGAGTCACAGGGGTCAAAACAGGCCTTGATGCGGAAGATGTTCGACTTTGCAATCCCCACACACAGCAACAGCAACCCCATCGAGCACCTCTACTCTCTCGAGCTGCTGTATGCCCGCCTGCGCGAAAAGGGGCTCAATGCTGAACAACCCTTCGTTCTCGCCCACTTCGTTGGTTCCCTCCGACCCGACTACCAACAAGCGAAGTTCCTGTTGGACACATCAACGGCGCTGGATAGGGCCGAGATCGTCAGGATCGTGAGCACGGTGCACGCGAGCCTCCCGGAGGGAAGGAAGGCCTCGAAGGGCCAGCGTAGGGCGGAGCATGCTCTCCTCGCGAGTGACGGTGGCGGCGGGGGAGGAGCGCCGGGCCGCGGCAACAGCGGCCGCCGCAAGGGTGGCGGCGGCGGTGGCGGCAACCAGAAGGGGAGAGGGGGTGGCGCGAAGGCTGGAGGCGGCAGCGGAGGCGGCGACGACGATGCGGGTAGCATGCGCGGTCGCTGTTTCCGGTGGGGCAAGAAGGGCCACCAGGTGGCCAACTGCCCCGAGAGCAAGCCGATGTGAGACATCACAT